GTCGAATTGATTGTAAGATCGTTTTTTGCGTGCCAATTGTTTTTCCTTCCTCCATTCTAAAATTTGGGTTTTATTTGGAGTGAGGGTAGCAAGCTTGCCAAGGCTACATGGTCCTCCCTGGAGCCGAGATGGAATGCCTGACCACACTCTGTCCCCACAGATAAGAAACATCCCCTTGGGCAACACCTTAGGACGCGTGGACGAGACCGAAATGACCTGGCTGGTGTAATTGCACCAGGTCTGACTGTGGTATTTTTTGCTCAACGGTGTCACATCCTTCCTGTATGTGTTCTTGGCCAAGTCAATTCCATGCCAATTCTGACTTGGCCTCCTGTAATAAAATTTGACACAGTATTCTGCGTGAGAGGACCCCAATAAGTCCAATTCTTGGGGTTCCTCTTTGCTGTTCGACAGAATTTTGGTCCACTCGTCCCAAGTGTCAACCGGGTTAGGTCTCTTACCCGTGGTTCGGAGTAGGTCTGAGTTGTAAACTGGCCAATCGTCGGCGACCAGGGGAACCCCCACCAGGCATGTGGACAACGGGTTGTCCACACTGCCCATGGCCAAACACAGATTGTCCTGCTGCAAGGACTTGGCGAGCGTGACCCGCACGTTCTCCTTCGGCTGCTGAACAATCCAGCCGTCCGCCGCTTGCAGCCACAAGATGACGAATGCCACGGCGACGGCCAGCTGGGCGCAGTGGGGCGATTTCTGGTGTTTCTCCCGGGTAGTTGTCACTTGGGCAGCCATCCTCATTCTATGAAAATAAAAGGAACTGTAAATAACAAAGGATTTGGTTCCCTCCCCTCCCAGCTCCCCCTTTGAGTTTAAATAGAAATTTAGGGTAGAGGGGCATAGGGAAAACGGGTAAGGTAAGGGGGTAAGGGAAAGGTAACTGGAGGGGATGGGTTATTTTGGGGTGTCGAGTCCAGAGGTGGGTAGTAAAGTCTGGTGATGAGGACTCGGGACACCAAGTTGGGACGGCTCTCGGTCCTCTTCATTCGTCGTCTCTTCCACGCGACTGCGTCGTCTGGTGTTGTGGGAGACGCAGTCTGTGGGTCCTGTCGCGTTGGTGGTTCTGCCGCTGGGGCATCTTCTAAGAAGGGCTTCACATATTTCCCCGGAATCCACTTTGGTCCATGAGCTGTTGAGACACAGGCATACCCTCTCCCCCAGGTTATTAGGGGAAAAGGCCCTGTGATGGCTCGGGATTCCGGGTCACGGACAAGGACCGGTGGGCGCTCCTTCAAAAGTGCTCGCGTGCTGTTAGTAAAGTGTCTGATGACGGGCGGGTCTGGCTCCCGGTCGGTGCAATTTAAAAAATTCAGCACATAAAGTGCTTTACAGAGTCTCTCGACCGGAGTCATCGCCAGCGCCGCGTCGTGTTGTTGGTCGAGCAACCTTTTGAGTTCTTTGTGGGAGCGCTCCACTATGGCCTGTCCTGTTGGGTTGTGAGGAATGCCGGTGGTATGTTTGATGCCCCATTGCTGCAAGAACTCCTCAAATTGTCTCGAGGTGAGTCCCGGGCCGTTATCAGTCTTAATTGCCTTCGGGACTCCCAGTGTGGCGAACGCCATATATAGATGTTTTTTGGCGTCCTTCGTCTTCTCCCCCGTGTGGAGAGAGGTGAAGATTGCGCCTGAAAAGGTGCCAATGGAAACGTGGATATATTTGAGGCGGCCAAAAGAGTTGTAGTGTGTGACATCCATCTGCCACAGCTCCAAAGCTCCCAGTCCCCGGGGATTGACCCCTGATGCCACCGGTGGAAGGGCAAGGGACTGACAGCTGGGGCAAGTGGCGAGGATGGCCTTGGCCTGCTCTTTGGATATCTTGAATTGTCTGGCAAGGGCAGGAGCGTTCTGATGAAAGAACGCATGGCTGAGCCTTGCTTGGGCGAAAATGTCTGGGATGGTGTTAGAGAGTGAGTGTACAGAAGAGGTCGTGGCAACAGTGGCCATAGCTAAGTGGTCTGCCCTCCGGTTACCCTCAGCGATGGCTCCTGGCAGGTCTGTGTGCGCCCGAACGTGCATTATGTGATAGGATTGCTCGCGGTGGGAGACCAACCAGATTAATTCCGTGAGCAACCCGAATAATTTCTTGTTTTGAATTTCTTTGAGCATTGCATGTTCTGCTCGCTCTGCTATCCCAGCCACATACGCCGAATCAGTCACCAGATTAAAAGGTTGTTGAAATGTTTTGAATGCTCTCACGACCGCGGCAAGTTCTGCGATCTGGGGGGAACCCTCAACTATTTGGATGTCAGACTCCCACTTCTGACTCTCCGGGTCCTTCCACGTGATCACTGATTTGTGGGATTTTCCCGATCCATCAGTGAACACTGTGAGAGCATCTTTGATCGGTGTTTTACTTTTGTACGATTTTGGGGCCAAACAGAAAGTGTCCTTGAATAGCTTATGCTTCGGATAATGTATGGAAATTTGGCCAGGATAGCTATCTAGAGAAATTTGGAGATTTTCATTTGTTTGCAACAGTGATTCCAATTGCTCCAAATTTAGAGGTACATAGATGCACGCCGGATCGCACCCTGCGAGGGTCCGGAGGCGTTGTCGGCCTTTGATTATGAGTTTGGCCATCAATTCTGCGGGTGTGGAGATGGTTTTCGGGGGCTGGTGCGGAAGGAACAGCCACTCGATGATAAGGAGTGGGTCCTTCCGGCCTGCATCCCACTGAAACAGCAACCCATGGAAGTTTGGGCACTTACCCAAGATGGCGAGGGGGATGGGAAGGACCCGGTCCACACGGTGCGCCTGGCGGGATCCGATGGCCTCCGCAACTCTCTCCAGGGCTCGCTTCGCGGCGGGTGTCAGCTCGCGTGGAGAAGCCAGGTCGCCGTCTCCTCGCAGGAGGTCGAAGAGGGGCGCCGGCTCCTCCGTGGTGAGTCCCAGGAGAGGTCGGATCCACGTGATGGTTCCGCAGATCTGCTGCAGATCCCGCAGGGTCCGTGGGTCGTCTTTGATGGTGACAGACTGGGGCGCGACGGTCCTTCCCGTGATCGTGATGCCCAAATACTTCCATGGGGCGGAGAGCTGGATCTTCTCCTCCGCAATCTGGAAACCCGCGTCCTTGATGGCTTTGATGGTTTTGTTGAGTGCTGCGCGGAGGTAGGTGGTCGTCTCCGCGCAGACAAGGACATCGTCCATGTAATGAAGGATGACGGCTTCGGGGAAAAGTCGGCGGATTGGCGATAAAACCTGTGCCACGGATGTTTGGCAGAGCACTGGAGAATTTTTCATTCCCCTGGGGCAAGGTGGTCCATTGATACCTTTTATAAGGTTCCGCCCGACTGATGGATGGTACGGAAAAAGCGAACCTGGGGGCATCTCCTGGATACAAGGGGATGTTAAAAAAGCAGTCCTTGATGTCAATGACTGCGAGCTGCCAATCCCGGGGAAGCATGGAGGGTGAGGGAAGCCCAGGCTGGAGGGGGCCCATGTCCTCGATGACATCATTGACCCTGCGGAGGTCTTGGAGCAGGCGCCACTTGTCTTTGCCTGTTTTTTTAATCACAAAGACAGGAGTGTTCCAAGGGCTGGTGGAGGGTATTAAATGCCCAAGGCGCACCTGCTCTTCTACAAGTTCATTGAGCGCATTTAATTTTTCCTCCACAAGGGGCCACTGATCCACCCACACCGGAACATCGGTCTTCCAATTCAACGGTGGGGAGGTGCGCTCCGCAGTGGCCCTCACTAAAAATCCCACGCAGGGCTAGGGATGTCAAGGCGGGCACCCCACTGGGACAATACGTCCCTGCCTAATAACATGATGTTTGATGACACAACAAAGGGCCGAATGGTGGCTATTTGTCCCTCTGGTCCCTCCACACTTACCAGGCGTCGACTGCGCATGGAATTGACAGCTCCGCCCACTCCGGAGATTGTGCCGCAAGGGGGCACCAACTCCCAGTCGCGGGGCCACTTTGACCTGGGAATGATGGTGACATCCGCCCCAGTGTCTGCCATCAGGTTCATCGCCACCGACTTTCCCTGTAAAGAAATGACAGTCCTGATTATCGGTCTTTCTTTGGTAACATTCTGGGTGAGAAAAACGTGAATGTCCTGTTCCGGGTCCCGTCCAGAGAGGTCGTCCGAGTCGAGCAGATAGAGCAAGGCGAAGGGGAGCCCTTTGCCCAGGGTGTAAGGGGGCTCGTGGCAAATGACCGAGACCGTTACCTCGGACCCCAGCGGGACACACACCACTTCAGGGATGATGGAAATCCTGTCTGGTGTGTGCCTTGCGTCGCCGACGATGAGGACGGTCGCTTCGCCTTGGCAGTGAGGGGGCTCCAGGAACCCCGCGGGGACTCTCACCAGGTCCTCATCCTGGAAGGTGACGGTGACGGAGCTTCTGAGGACCTGGCGGCGGCCGGGATCTAGGTTGGCCGTTCTCCGGAGGAGGCGAAGTCCGTCGTCTGTGCTCCGCCAATCCTCCGAAACTGTCCCCTGGGCCATTGGTCCTCCCTGATAGTAGGGAGGCTCGGGCGCTGAGAAGGGCCATTTGATGTTCTCGCGCGGCCCCTCCTCGCGCTCCGCGGCCCGTTTCCCGCCGGCTGGTATGGCGGGAATGAGTTCCTGGGTGGGGGTCTTGGGGAAGGTGCATACGGGTGATGGCAGAATGCATCGGGGGGGCAGGGGCAGTTGGCTTGAATGTGCCCCATTTGGCCACACCCGAAGCAGCGCATGTTGTTTAAGTTCAGCATGGCCTCCCCCACCCCTTTGCTCACTGCCATGGCAACCGTTACCTCTGTAGATGTGGCCTTCACGCACGCCTCCACCATCTGGGTGATGGTGGGCTCGGGGTCCTGCGGTAACGCTCTTAAGATCTTCTTCGTCTCCGCTGAGGCGTTGGTCATTGCCATCTTTCGGAGGAGCTCTTCCCTTGCCGCAGGGTGCTCTATCTGCTTTTCGATCGCCTCTCTGAGGCGGTCCACGAACTTGATGAAAGATTCGTCCGGTCCTTGAAGTATTGTAGAGAAACTTTGGGAGGGAGTTTTGCCGTCTGGGATCTTCAACAGCGCGGCACGGCCAGCCTCTCGGATGTCATCGAGGAGCGGTGTCGGAAGGGGGACTTGGTAAGTGGGTGCTGCAGAGGCTCCGGCAAGGCATCAAAAACGCCGGCCCCGCACCCAAGGGTGGCATGAGACCTCCTCCAGCTCCGGCCTGTCCGCAGGCTGCTTGGCCAAACACCATCGGATCAGGTGCTGGAGCTCTGGGGAGAGAAGCCAGAAAGCGTCGGTCACCGGCAGAGTCTCCTGCCCAGCTGCCCCCGTCACCCGCAGGGCACGGGCCGTGCCAGGCTGGGCTCTAGGCCGTGCCGGACTCCCAACCGGCTCTGCCCCGCGTGGAAGAGCGGCACGGCGGGACGCGGCCGCCTCCTCCGGCCGCCCGTGCCGCGCTGACCCCGTCGAGCTGCGTGAGGGCCGCGCCGGGCTGCGTGCCGCCACCTGCCAAAGCCCTCCGTCTTGAGGCCGGACACCCACCTGGAGAGACCTGCCGCTGGAAGAAGACCTTCCCCAGCACAATGTCAGGGTCGTCCTGGAAGGGGAGGCTGCCGCAGACCATGACGTAAAGCAGCACGCCCAGGGACCAGATGGTGGCCGCGTGGCCGTGGTAGTAACCCAGCCAGATCCACTCGGGCGGGCTGTACGCGTGCGTTCCTAGGGGAGACAGGCGGCGCTGGCTGGGCGCAGGCTGCTGCCTTCCAGAGCCTGGCACCAGCCCCCTGGCCGAGGCAGGGGCTGCACCCGTGGCCACAGCTTCCCCCCCGAGGCCACCCCGCGTCCCCCAGCCAGCTGCCCAAAAGCAAGGAACCATTCCGCAAGGCCAAGAAGGCCAGCGGAGCAGCCCAGGCCCTTGTGGGCCCGCTGAGCCCCAGGGCCAGGAGCCGCTTTTGCCACCCCCTCTGTCGGCAGGGCCGGCAGCCGGCTCCTGGGGCACGGCATCCGCCCCGTGCCAGAGGGCAGCCGGCTGAAGGCCGCAGCCCGCGGCCCAGGAGGGAACGGGGCCGTGCAGTGCCTGGCACCGGGAGCAGGGCTCAGGCCATGGGCTCACCGGCAAAGCCCGAGAAGGCCCGCTCCTGGAGGAAGGTGCCACAACCGAAGTCGATGAGCTTCAGGTCGCCGCTCTCCGGGTCCACGAGGAGGTTCTCTGGCTTGATGTCCCGGTGCAGGACGCCGCAGGCGGTGCAGTGCCGCACGGCCTCCAGCACCTGGCAGAAAAGCCAGCGCGCCTGCTCCTCGCACAGGCACCCCTGCTCCTGCAGGAACTGCAGGAGATCCTGCGATGCCTGCGGACGCTCCAGGACCAGCACGAAGCTGTCGGGCAGCTCAAACCAGTCGAGGAGCTGGATGATGTTGTGGCAGCCAGAGCCCACCTTCTCCATGAGCGCCACCTCCATGGGCACGCGGGTGCCGTCGGGCTGTGAGGAGGAGAAAATCAGTGCCTCTGGCAGGCTGCTGCTGCTGCTGCTGCTGCTGCTGCTGCTGCTGCTGCTGCTGCTGCTGCCCTGGGGCCGCGCTGCGCCCTGCCCGGGATGCCCCAGTGCCCCCTGCCGCAGCCTCCCTGGCGCTTGCGCTTCCTCCAGCCCGGGGGATGCTCGGGGCTGCCCCTGCCCGGCCCCAGCACCGCTGTTCGGCGTGCCCAGGCCCGCGGGGCCGCGGCTCCGCTCGCTGAGCCCGCCCCGGGATTCTCCCTGCCCGCCACGCCCCGCTCTGTCCCGCTGGCCCCGCTCGCTCACCAGCTCGTCCCACTGCAGGACGCTCTCCCGGGCCACGCGTTTGAGGGCCACCTGCGAGCCATGGGGAGAGGAGGGCTGAGCTCCAGCCCTGCCCCTCCCCGCCGCTGCCCCTCCTCCCCCGCCCGGCCGTCGCGGCCACTCACCGGGCTGCCGTCCGAGAGGCGGATGCCCGAGAAGACGGTGCCGAAGCCGCCGCTGCCCAGCTGCGGGCCCCACAGGTACAGCTCCTGCCGCTGCTCCCTTTGCCCTGCGGCCAAGAGCGAGCCATCAGCCTTGCGCCCAGGGCCCGCCCCTCCCGCAAGTGCCGCGAGTGGAGCGGGCCGGGCCCCGCGGGCCGCCGCGCTCTCACCCGCTTCCTGCTGCGCGCCGGGCAGCGGCCGCCGCCCTGCAGCCGCCGGGCTGGCGAGCGGCAGAGCCGGGCCGGGGCAGCGCGCACAGGCGGCTGCGGCAGCCCCGGGCCAGCGGGGCAGGGCGGCACCGGCGCTGTCCCCGGCGGCGTGGGCTGGGCTCTGCTCCTGCCGACGGCCGGGGCTGCAGCCCGAGGCTGGGCACAGGGGGATCCCAGGAGCAGCTGCAAAGCAGACAGGGCTTTTTCAAGCCGGGCCATCGGAGGCACTGGAAACAGCCAGCGACTAGGCTGCTGTCAGGGGCCCTGGCCTGGCCTGGCCGTGCCCCTCCAGAGCCCCGGGGGAGCCTCAGGCAGCTCCTCAGGAGATCTCACCTGCTACTAGAAAGCTCTTTGCGGCACTCAAGGGCTGTCTCGGGGCAGCTTGCTGCAGATGGAGGAACCTCCGTGGTGTCTGGAGGACCATCTCCACCGCCAGGCTCGGGCTGTGGCCAGCTGGCAGAACCAGCACAGCGTCCTGGCTGTCCTGGCCGCTGTGGGATGACCACTGCTGGCTCCAGGACGCTTGCTGCCCCGCCAGCTGCTCCTGAGCAGGCTCCCCTGCATCGGGCTGGGCTCCCATTTGGACTTGTGGGCTTTCCCCTGCCACGTCAAGGCTCAGGATTGCGCCCACGTTGTTGAAGTCTGTGAGTCCAAGGGAGCTGGGAGACCTGTCCACGGGCTCTGCTCCTTCCGCAGGCTGACAGGTCTCACTGAGCCTCTGTGAGGGATGGCGGCTGTCAGAGATAGCAGAGGCTCTTGGCAGGATGCAGGGCCTCTGACAGCCTGAGTTTCCTGCATGGATGGTGGTGGCTCCCCCCTGCTGTGCCATCCTTGCAGGCCTTGAGGCTCTCCCAGGGCTGGAGAATCTTGCTGGGAGCAGCCTCTGGAAGGGATGGAGGCTTCTGGAGGAGCTGGCTAAGCCACAGCAGGGCAGGTGGCCTCGCTTCAGCAGCTCCTTCAGTTCTTTCCACAAGGCCTGCCACATCCCAGAGTAGAGCGGCGCACGTGTCCCGTTGCCATCCCAGATCTGCAGCATCAGTTCCTGCAGCTCCCGGGCCACTGCCAGGCAGGGGCCACAGCTGCAGGGGCTGCCCAGGGGGCTGGCGGGAGCACGTGGCCGCTTGCCAGGAGTCGCCCGAGGCCTGGGGAACCTGGGAGTCGCAGGGGCTCCTCGCTTCCTCCGTGAGCCTCTGGGCCGGGCCCCGGGGCGCTTGCTCCACATCGCTCTCCGTGTCTGCCGGCTCCGTTGTTGCCGGTGGCCAAAGGCCCACCAGACAGCCACGGCGGCCAGCAGCAGGACAAGCGCAGTCACCAGGACGTCACCGTCACCCATGGCTCCGGCAGGTCCCATCGTGACTGCACTGGCAGCTGTGGGTGCTGGCCCGTCTCACACAGCGACAGCGCGCTGATGTCACAGCGATGTCACAGTGCTGCGGCCAGCACAGCCCTGGGACATCACAGCCCTGCCTGACGCCAGCACTCTGCCCCTTTGTGCCATCACAGCCCTGCCTCGGCCCCGCCCTCCGCAGTGCCCCAGGAGGGATAAAGGGGCTCCCTATGGGCACTTGCAAGACCCAGCTCTTTGCCGCTTCCCCGGGAAGAAAATGGATCCTATCCCATTGAAAGCCAGTACATTAGCCCATTCTTCACCCAGCACACCCTGTCTCTATTTGTCTCACAGCTGGACACCTGCACCAGGTGTATTCTGCGAGGGACAGGATCAAAACTCCACTTAAAACCCTGAAATAGAATCTGCATTGCCTTCCCATCGTCCATGAGACCGGGTGACCTTCTGTTAGGGTGTGGGATTCCTTAAAATCAGAGGGTTTTGGGCACGTTGTAAAAGTCAGACCTCAGAGACAGCAGGATGGTGATTTAGAGCTAAGCAGTAGCTATAAGATTGGTCAGCAGAAAAATTATACAAGAAGTAGAAAGAAAGAACAAATAGAACTATGGTCTGTGTATTAACGTCTGGGTAGAATAACTTCCTACGTTGCAGAAAAGTATATCTGGTGAGATATTAGGAAGTTCTAAGCTTAATAATGGAGCTATGTGCATTGTATCTTAAGGCTTACAGGCAAGTATTGTATTTGAAATAAGCAAGCATTGTTTTAACCAAAGGTATGTGTATTTATAGTGATTGGCTAGAACTACTGTCAATATGCTTTTGCTTTGTGTGATTGGTCATAAAGTTTATAAAGTAAGTTGTAACATGAAGTTCTTGGTCTGTTGCTTGGGAATGTGAGCTGCTGGCATCTTCCCATTGTCATAACCATGTAATGAGACTGATGCTAAAAAATAAACAGCTTAAGTCGCATACCACAGCAGTCCTGTCCAGTTTGTGACTTGTATAGAGCCCCTGGCCGGCGATAATATAGCATTCAATATTTTTATACAGCATGACTTCTCATTACCTAATAAAATGATTTGTAGAAATGAATTGGAAAACAGGAAATAAACCAAGAAAAATATTCAAGCTATAAAAGATGTGAGTTTTCTCTCACAGGTCAAGATTTTCTTTGTATTTCAGATGAAAAATATTAGGAAGCTAAATGGTCACCCATTCTTTTCAAAAGTATCTGGATATCCAAGAGATATAAATTTCGGCAGGACTTGTATGTCAGGTATTCCTGAAAACCTTGATTTCACTGCTGCCCGACCTTGATTCAATCCACTTAAATGCAGCTGTATTCCAGGTGCTCAGTGAAATTCTCCATGGAATGCATATTGTTTAGAAATCGTCTGCAGAAAAAGCTAGATACATCTGAAGATCTTTTTTTGGGAATGGCATTTCAGTTCTTTGTACAAACACACAGATGGGATTTCTGCTGTCTTCTTCAGGCCACTTCCTCCAGAGACCTCTCTATTAAATCTCTCTAGTTCTACCCTTCTGGTGATCCAAAGTCAGCACTGGCATTGTCCAACTGCATGGAATTACTGCATGCTACAGCCGCGCACTGAGGGCTTCTGTGTGCAGCGTCATGTAAGCCGTCCTAATGTCACCCTGTTGCTATCAACTCAGCTAGCTCAGCTGGCTGACAGTTGGATCTTAAGGGACAAGAATGTGCCCTGATTTTGGAATACAAATGAGGTACTAAGAAGGAGGCTGGAGGATTTCAATATTTCTGCCTCCAGCTTAAGCAACACTAAATCTTGGTCTTTATCTGAGAAATTATGTGAATTAACCCATTTGGCATTCATATGCCAAAAATGCGAGTAAGGACTGTCAAAAATGGAATAAATCCAATCATCACTTTATTAAAAGAATTCACTTGAAGAAGTCAGGGAGAAGGACTAATCATGCAAATGTCCTTCCCTGAGAATCATTCTGTATATTTGCACAGCTCTCTTCTTATATTCCCATCTAATGCATTGGACATGTCTACTTGCGATGAGACAAATTCTTGCAAAGCTTACCAGATAAACCACGTGTTCTATTCAAGCAGCAAAAGATTTCTTTCTGCTTGGATTTCCTACTTATATTTAGACTTAATGGTCTTTTCCAACCCAAGTGATTCCATCATTCTCAAAGTCGCACATGCTACTTGTCCTGCTTTAGGGCAAATCTGGGAGAAGACATCTGAAAGGGGACACCCCCAGAAAGCCAACCCACATGGCCTCTCCCCGCAACCGGTTTGGGAGAAATTTCCTGGGAGAGAAGTGGAAGAAACCTGTTGATTTAACAGGAAAAGCACTCCCCAGCACAAAAAATGAACACTAGCAGATGACAAAGCTCATTTGATGCTCTGAAGAGATGACAAGGTCAGAAAGTCTCTCCTGTGGCTGGTCGCTCTGTTATCAGTCCCTGCGGCACTCGGAAAGGCTGCTGCCCAGAGTAGGTCACCAAGTAAAAGCTCTCACTGCTCCCCGAGTCCCAATCCGGGGCAGGTTCAAACAGGTCCAAGAAAAGGGAAAGGAAAAGCAACTGTCCAGGGAAAACTTCTCTGCCTCAGCAGCTAAACTAACTAAAAAGCAAAGAAGTGCTCTCTTCTGCTCCGTCCGTGCCCAGACAGCACAGTCCAGCGCAGAATGTGGAGGAGTGTTGCTTGTAGAGGAGTGAGTGCAGTCTCTGATAACCAACTCCGTGCTTTGTCTTCTCCTTGCCTTCACTCTCAGAACCAGTCTTGAAGGCACAGAATATAATAGCCAGCATCAACAGAACAGACCGCTGGGGATACAAGCATCAGAAAGTCACCCTGGGACACTGCTCTATTGAGAGATGTCACCAGACTATGCTAAGACCAATTTCCGGAATTACTAAGTCTAATTCTGTAATCACAGTGGAAAGCTGAGGAGGAAACATCGTTCACTTCAGTTACCTTGTGGCATGCCAGTACTTCCTTTCAATCCCAATGTTTTTTGGTTTTAATCCCATGACATCACAGGCATAACTAAACATCTTTGGAGCAGGAAGGAAGATATTATTCTTCTCATGATACTGATGGGTAAGCTGAAATGCAAAGCAGCTTATTCAAAGTGAAGAAGCAATAAAGTCAATTGTAAAACTCACCACAGTTTTGTTTACTCCCCTAAATCCTTACTATCCCAAAAGACAAGGACAGCTGGAAACACCTTGTGGCTACTTAATTTTTTCCTATACCTACATGGTAGAGGAAGGAAAAATGATCCGAAACAATGGTAATCCACAACAAAGCATTCTTGGCATCACGTTCAGGTCCTGCATAGCAAGCTCTTCACCTGGTAAAGTTATTCCATTGCAACAGTTTGGGGAGTATCTTAGAGGGCTGGGTTTAAACCATTAAACCATCCTGATGATTCAGGAATTCAGTAGCAATGAGAAAGTTTCCAAGAAGATAGTACTGTGCATTGATTTGCATCTATGACAGACATATTTCTACAAGACAGAAGGCTGTACTACATATGGGTGAAGTGGCATCCTGTTGCCACTTTTTTCTGGTTTTCTGTTTCTTTTGAACTGCTTTCTTACCAGATTAATGAGCTGAACTACCTCAAAAAGGAATCAGGTAAGTGCCAGATCTTTCAAAAAAGAAACAAAAAACCACAAACAACTCCCCCCCCCCAAAAAAAAAAAAATCAAATGCAAAATGGCGATCTATAAGTGCATTTGAAAATAAAAGATTTTTCTACTTTTCATAGATACATGGCGTTCTCTAGAATAATATTGCTCCAACGTTTTGTTTTGGCTTTTTAAAATTCTGAATTTTATGGATTCTTTTTGGCCATTTTAGTAATGAGATTTTTTGATATGTTCTTTCAAGCTGAAATTGATTCTAGTAGATAGAAGCACACTGGTAGGTAAAAGTAGACTAGAAAAGAGAACATTCAGATATTCAGACTAGAAAAGACAACATTCACGTCTTCCCATGCAAGCAACTGAAGAAAGCAGGCAGGAGATTGTCAGATAACATGCTATGGGAATTGAAAAGAATCTGTCCTTATTTGAAGCAACTGAGAAACTCACACAAGGAAATACAGGTCAGACAGATGAAAGGGTCACAGATGATGTCAAATCAATACATTTAATGCTTGAATGAAACAAGATTTCTTGAAGTACAATCTTATAGAAGAAAGGTGAATTTGCAGAAGCAATTGAACTGGGTCTGTTTTAACTCAACTGAGGATTCAGGAGGGCGATCTTGATATGAAAAGGATTTCAAAACATACAAATACCAAGCAGATCTGAAAGATGTCCCCCTAGAACAGCCAGACTGGGAGTTGTTCACAGATGGAAGCAGTTTCATGGAGGACGGAATCAGACACGCTGGATATGCGGTAACAACAATCAGTCCAGTGGTAGAGGCAAAAGCATTGCCACCAAATACATCCGCCCAGAAGGCAGAACTGGTTGCTTTAACCAGAGCACTAGAATTAAGTGAAGGGAAAAAGGCGAACATATGGACTGATTCAAAATATGCATTTGGAGTAGTGCATGTGCATGGGGCCCTATGGAAAGAACGGGACCTGTTTTTGTCTCAAGGGATGCACATTAAACACCAAGATGCAGTTCTGCAGCTGACAGGAGCAGTACAAAAACCTGAACAAGGGGCAATTACGCACTGTAAAGCACATCAATCAGGAAACTCCAAAATTTGTGAGGGAAATCGAAAGGCAGATTGGACAGCTCGACAGGCTGCTCGAAAGGTGCAAACAACAATGGCATTGGTCCCTTTAAAACTTAATGTATCTCAATTCCATTTACCTCCACAGCCGAAATATTCAGCAGAAGATGAGAAATTGGGGCATTTACTGAGTGCACAGAAGAATCCAGAAGGCTGGTATGTAACTGCACACGGACAGATAGTGGTACCCCCCTTGGTCATGAGAGAGGTTCTACAAATTAAACATAACGGA